TTGATGTTTTGCATCGTCAACCTTTTTCGAAAGTTCATGAACGATGAGATGATGTACAAATCGTCTGTCTTCACCAATATTCTTTTCGCCGTTGCTCCGGGATATTTATGAAACGAACGTAAGAGCAGACAGGGGACATCCGTTGGTCTCGCAATCGTCATCCTTGTCGGCACGATCAACACGTTCCTTCCTCCTGGATTTGGTATGTGGACGACTGGATTGAGCTATTTCAACCAACCCTGGTTCTACATTACAAGCGTGGTTTCGACTGCTTTCGCCGTGCACAACCTTGTCATGGTTCTTAAGTTCCCACCCAAAAAGCAGATAGGAGAAAGAAAACCAATCTGGTAGTCTTTTGTTGGCAGAAGGTATTGCAAGAACATTTGGGAAAAACTGGCAGACTCGACTGCAGGAACAAACCTGCGGAGCCACATGACATTTCTGCACGAATGATTCCCTAAGCATGATATCTGCATCCTAGACATTTACATTTCTTCGACTTATTAAAAAAGCGCTATGCAAAATTCAAGAAAATATTTTTCTTCACTTGTTCATACACGGATAGAGAGAGTTCTATGAGTTGATCAAGAATATGCGTGTTTTAATTTCTTAAATGCTATTTAAAGCAAAATCTACAGCTCTTAATAGCTTCGCATACTTCACTTTTCTCGGAAAGAAAATTTTGATGAAAAACGTTTTCCTTACTGTTGTGAAGTTTTTCATTCTTTTTTAAATTTTTCATTGTGCAACGGTCGGGTTCAGCATAGAAAGCTGAGTCTAGAAAGCTTATTTCTGCTTTTACTCAAATATACGATGATGAAAAATTGTTAGAGTTTGCAGGTAAAAGAGAATGTGGGGTTGAGGTAGGTTGTGGCAGTAGCCGTAATCTATTTTCAAAGCAACACCCACCTCCATGTGCTACACTCAAAACCTTTCCCACATCGACCAACATGCACACCCGCAGCCATACTTATGCCGACACCCAATAAACTTTTCGTCTGTTCGGTCATAAAAACGAGCAAAGACTACATTTTTCTCTAATTTCTTTTGTGAAAGGGTGTGAGTGTGGGTGCGTGTAGGTGAAGAGAAAATCAATACTCACATCCACACTCATACCCACATTCACACCGATACCTCACCCTCACATATCCGTAACCAAATCTTACCTTCATACACTCACACCTACAGTCTGCAATAGTTCTCTAAGTTAACATAAATTTCAATCGAATATTTGGAATCATTGGTGCTCACGACAGATTTTAATCAATGAAAAATAACTTGAAAATGAATGAATAAGAAATTGAAGAAGTGAAATACACCAAAATAAGATGTACGAATAATAGATGATGTTTCTTAATGGTCTCATATACAAACATAGCATCATAAAACAGCAATGACTCTATGCTTGCTTAATAGCATAACATAAGTGAAAAATTCAATTAGTAATATTGTCTACGAGAACGCCTTGTAGAAATGAAAGCGATGATATAAAGCCGATATAGATTTTAAATTTAAATTCCTATCACAGAAATTCAGTGTCTAGCGATGTGACATTGTGAAAATCAGCGAAAAAAAAACAATTATAATTAACTTGAGATACAATCAGAGAGGTCAGACAATGAATACTATTACTGGTTATTGACTTCAAATGGACATGTCTGTCGCATATAGTTTTCATCAGTTTGATATTCAACATATAAACCACGACATCAAGATCATTTCAATAGTGGAATTGATAAGTCGAAAAGTTCATTGAGAAGCATGAGAGACTTAGTACGACTGCTAGAAAATATTATTGAATTGAAAATAGAGTGCTCGTAATCCATGATGAAAATGATTAATTACATATTTGACAGCTGATGAACTAATGTCCGTCCAAAAAGTCCGTGCGTGTGACTATTTTTTGAATAATTTTTGATAGGAACAAGATACAGACTTGCGGTTTCCGGCGTTCGACAGCCAAGGCAAAGAGGCATCTTTTCACTATGAAAAACTTTTCTGAGGAACAATTTCGAAGTCAGTTTATCACAGGATCTTTGAGAAGTTAGATTGGATTTCTCAAAACTTGCATGGAGACCTATTGATATTTTTTACATATTTGGAATCTCCACTAAAAACTGAGTCAACTCATATATGTTTCGAATCGTTTCGCGACACTTTTTTTCCATCGAAAACCTCTGCCCTAGGAACCCGTCTATAAATAAAGTTAGTCAAAAGATCACTTGGACAGTGGAAAGCAACTTCCGAAGTTGTAAAATGCTACTATAACACAAAATGGCGCAAGATTAAATGATAGAAACGGCGTTTTGACGAACTTTATTTGTTGACGGGTTCCTAGGGCAGAGGTTTTCGATGGAAAAAAAGTGTCGCGAAACGATTCGAAAAATATATGAGTTGGCTCAGTTTTCAGTGGAGATTCCAAATATGTAAAAATATCAATAGGTCTCCATGCAAGTTTTGAGAAATCCAATCTAACTTCTCAAAGATCCTGTGATAAACTGACTTCGAAATTGTTCCTTAGAAAAGTTTTTCATAGTGAAAAGATGCCTCTTTGCCTTGGCTGTCGAACGCCGAAAACCGCAGGTCTGTATCTTGTTCCTATCAAAAATGATTCAAAAAATAGTCACACGCACGGACTTTTTGGACGGACATTACAATGCGATTTTTTTTGACATTTGACTGGCAATCATCTGAATTAGAAGAACTTGTCCATGTTATTAATGTAGCCCATGAGATGCACAGTTAACTTTGCTTAAAATAGAACTTATACATTCCATGAGGGATTTACATTAACCCCTATCACATACTTGCTTATAGTTAAATAGCGCACATTTATTAGCACATAACCTAGCACAATATATGTGTGATACATAAAGATTTTATTCATTTTTCTTTCACATTTGTCCTTGTAGAATCTGGTTGGCACAATGTTTGGTCAATTGAGCAAATTGGGACCATACAGCTGGTTCAAATATGGCTCCTTTGGCAATCCACAAAATTTTTGCAATGTCTTGCGATGGAAGATGACAAAATGAAAGTTCAGGATGGTTAGGATGGGGTTGAAGATAACAGTCGGTGTGTGAATCAAAACCTCGCTTTTTTATTTCCGAACAAGATGCACTTGAGTCGCTCTGCAAATAGGCCAACATCTTTTTTTGAAGACAAATACGCACACCATTTTGCCATGCTTGATTAATAAATTGATTCTGATGAGTTAAAAATCCTGTACAATACTTGTAGATAAATTTTTGCACATATCCCTCACTACCACATGGAGAAACCCTTTCTAGATCATTGTAGAACTCGCAGCTGCTATTGCTTATGGTTGATTCCAGAAGGGTCAAGTCACCTGGGATCACTTTCGGTATGATGATACGCGAAAAACTCAATTGAATCGAGCCGAGCATAATGAAAATAAGAAAACTATGCATCGTGATGTTAAATGTGAAAAGGCTAGTGAATAACGGAGTATTACTCTGATATTGCTGACGAAAGGCACTTATATACAGAAACCTTAATCTTAAAAAAATACAGTGACGTGACAATAAATTTTCAACTATTCGACAAGAATGAGACTATGAAGGCATATCAGATTTCAAGATGCAATTAAAACAATAATTTGAGTGTGAAGGAAAGTAATCTGACAAAAAGTTTGATTACACGGATTTTTAGTGGCTTAGTTGTGTACAAAACTGATAGCACTTTTTTCTGATGCATCTTAAAGGTTTGCTGTTGAAACTCAAACATTTAATTCGAATAATAGGAGAAATGATTCTAGTGAGACAAATTGAGCTGTTTTTTTAGCTGTCCGAAACATTCTATGGATGTAATCATTGAAATAATTTACAATAAGTCGAGTTTTTATCATAATTCAACTTGTAATTAGAAGAAACAGGCAATCTTTAGGTATTGAATCTGTTATTGTGAATATTGACATTAATCTGGTAGTACGAAGCAGTTCATGTGCATGAATCAATCAATAAAGTCATAATCAAGATGAAAACAAAGCCTTCTTTGTCATAGCACTCGAAATTTTTTATCAGTCTTCGTTGGTTAATTCAGTTGATATTCTTGATTTCGGTGTTTTTTAGGGACAGGCAAATCAAGTCATAAAGTATATCTATATAGAGAAATTTTACGCATTTCATTTTTTATTGCTTATTTATTATCTAAAAGAGAAATACAAATAATAAGTAATAAATATTTCTATAAATTGAATTCAAACCGAAGGAAGATTGAAAGACTTTGTAATAAGTAAATGATCTATTTTCAGCTGCTCTTTTTTTTTTTTTACTATACAGTAAAACTTTTTTGCAAACTTATTTCTTTTTTGTGAAGAATGAAAGCTTTGATATTTTGATCGTTTCGAGAAAAAATAGAACGTCGAAAAAACTTACTTGAAATTGAGTTCTGACTGGACGTTGCTTGACTTGTGATGAAAAAACCTCTGACTTGCTCATCTATGGTCTTCTGCTCTCCGACTTTGGTAAATGTTCAATGAGCTTCTATCGACGGTTACTAGTATAATTGCTATCGGATCATACAGATTCGTACGTTATTTACAATTATCTCGACGAAATACATCGATGAATTGATAGCAACAATGATATATTCTAATGCATGATTTACTGTCGTACACAGGACTATGTCAATGATTTTCGAAGCACCCGAAGTATTTAGTGTAAAACAACAGTATAACGACGATTGTAGTATTTGTATATCATTTCATGTCAATAGCTTGAATGATGACAATATTATCAATTTACATTGGTTCATTCAATATACTTATTTGTATGGATTCAAAGAAAAACCTGGCTGTAATTCATGTTAATGTTATTAAAAGTAGTATATAACGATTATCTTTTATTAATCAAGAAAAATTTAACTTCGAAAAATTCTGTATTCTGTCAAAAACCTTCGTATTTTATTTCTTCAATCTACTAAGTTTCACAAAAAAAAAGAATAAGATAAATTAATCAAAAGACATCTTGATGGTGAAATTAATCAGTTTTTGGCCAATTCCATTTTGGTGGCAATATATCTTGATATTCGGCTGTGTACTGATTTGACTTAATGAATTGATCCAAGTCGTCGGGCTTGGGATAGAGAGCGGCCAAGTTATGAGCATAAGCATATTCGGCAAGCTTGACAGCAATACATCGTGACACATCATGAATCTTTTCAATAGATGGATAGACAAGGCCAACAGCTAGATCTTCTTTTGTCACTAGCTCTGATAGAGTTTTTGCAGCAATATAAAATAGTTCTTCGGGTATATGTCGAATACGGCAAGTCACAACAGCCAAGCCAACACCAGGAAATATGTATGAATTGTTACCCTGACCAGGTACATAGGTTTTGCCTTGATATTCAACATTTGGAAAAGGTGAACCTGAGGCGAATACACATCGGCCATTGGTAGCTTCATAGGCTTCTTGTGCTGTGCATTCAGCTTTCGATGTGGGATTCGAAAGTGCAAAAATAACAGGATGTTTATTCAATGACGCCATCTTTTCGAGAATTTCACGTGTGAACGTAGGTCCTTGGCCAGCAGCGCCTATTTAAAAGAAAAGAACTAAAATTAAGATAAATCGATTAAAGTTATTGAGTACCGATGAGAAATGTTGGCTTGACAGCATCAACAATATCTGCTAGTTTAGTGATCGGTTCTCGTTCATGTGCATAGCGCTTCTTTTCTTCGTTCAATCCACCTGTTGGACGATTCTAATAGTAGTAAACATCATATGTTGTTGAAAAACTATGAAGGATATCTCTACCTTAACAACAAGACCTTTTGAATCAACCAAGAATATTTTCTTTCGAGCCTCATCGACACTCAACCCTTCCCGTTCCATGGCGAGCACGAGTAAGTCTGCGATGCCGATAGATGCCTAATTAAGAGAAATAAACATAAATCACAAAAAGTTAGAAAATATCACTTACCTCGCCAGCACCATAGAAGAGAAATTTGTTGTCATGCAATTTTAATTGGGTAATTCGAATCGAACTTAGAATGCCAGCAACAGCCACACTAGCTGTACCTTGAATATCATCATTGAATGTACAATATTGATCTCGATATTTTTCCAAAAGGCGAAATGCATTGTGATTCTATTCAAATGAGATAATTGTAAATTTTAGTAAACAAAAGTCTAATAGTCGAATATCGTTTACCGCAAAATCTTCGAATTGAATCAAGCATTGATGTCCAAATCTATTACCAAGCAAAAAAACGCACCAAATAAATGAAAATGTCCAAAGATACTCCAATATTACCGCTTAGTAACTGCTTGCATGAACTCATCAACAAAATCATCATATTCTTTGCCGGTGACACGTTTTTGTCGTAAGCCCAAATAGTATTTATCGTTGAGGAGTGTCTAAATCATTTGCTTAGAATGTATATTTATTAAGAATGAAAAAAACAACATTCGCTTACTTCGTTATTTGTTCCCACATCCAGTGTCAATGGTAAACAGTATTCAGGTGCCACCCCAGCCAATGCTGTATACAAACTTAATTTACCTACAGGGATACCCATACCATTGCAACCCAAATCACCTAAACCTAATATACGTTCGCCATCGGTAACTACAATTGCCTATAATAACAACATTACATTTTTTCTTCTTGAAACAAACAAATATTAACTTACTCGAATATCATGTTCAGGCCAATTTACCAAAACATCATAAACGTGACCTTTGTCATTAATTGAAATAAACAGGCCTCTAAATAAATCGTAGTATCATTGAATTAGTCATATTTTTATTTTGATCAGCGACTTACTTCGGTTTTGCAAAAATCAAGCCATACTTCTGACAAGCCAACCCGACAGTCGGTGTGTAGACCAAGGGCATAGTTTCTTGAGTGTGTTGCATAACTACACGATAGAACAATGTCTCATTGCGATCTTGTAGAGCAAGTAAAGAAATGTATCGTGACAAGTCATCGGGCATATTGCGTAGATTTTCCATAAATCGTTCGACTTGTAGTTCAGGAGTGGCCACTGAAGGCGGCAAAAGACCATGAATACGCAATGCTTGTCGTTCTTCGATGGAGAAAGCAGTGCCCTACAGAAAGAAAAAGACATTGATTTATTTTAAACAAATTCAAGAATCACACTGACTTTGTCAGTACGTCCATCGAGCAAGACTTCACGGCCAATCAGAAATCGACGAGACGACATTGGTTCTTTAACAAAAGTATAAGCCGTATGTCTTTCTAGAAGTACAGTAGATCCATCAAGTTCTAATATTCATAGCATAGAAATATAAGTAGTGCATCAATGTGTTTTCAATCTATACACTGTCTCACATTAGTGAAGCATCGACAAAACACTAAAAGAGACACCAACGAAGTGCACTATTGAAGTAAAGAGGCAACGAACACCATTAAATATTATAACGAATCCTACTGATAATAATATTGACATTAAGCGAGTGATCATGTGCACTTTGCATCGTCAATGATAAAGTATGTGATAGTGGTTGTCTCTCCTATTTCATTTACTTCTGCTAAAGCCAACGAACATGTTCTCGTTTTACCTTTTCTCTTTCTGTTCGATTACCAAAGGTTGTCAGCGCGCATAAAAAGAAGTGAAAAAGAAAAAAGAAAAGTTACGCGAAGCCTTGCGCATAACAAAGGAAAAGAACAAGAAAAATGCCACAGGTCCTCTGCTTCTGATTACTATTCGTATCTTGACGGCCCCAGATGCAAACCTAAATAGCTGCATTCAATTTGTTATCGAAAATAATATCAAATCCGATTCAATTTCGTTTTTTCAAATGAAAATTTATCGAAACGCCACTATTCATACGATAGACAATGATTCACGCTGTCAGAACGAAAATAGAAAACAATTTTCTCCTTGGCTAGTTATAGTAATCAAAATAACGAATGAGCTTGTTACAGTGTATTGTAACTACATATACCTCGATTCTATCTATTCTGTTTTCTTTGATATTTTCGTTTCTGTTATTTCGTTTCTATTGCTCTTCTTTGTCCTTGATTAACCTTTCTATTCTATTCTACTTTTGTCCTTATTTTTATGTTCGTATATAAGCATTAGTTTTTTCAAAGAATAAACAGAGAGAAGAAAATACACATAATCTTTAACAGTGTTCGTCGCTCTTCGCGAGCGCGAACCCTAACAGAGCTAGATAAAAAAAAATTGATTTTTTTGCAGGCATTAATATATTATCTCTTAAACCATTTTCATTCAACTCAAATCAATCATTTTGTTTTAGTTTTCTGGCCATTTGAATGTTATTGATCCGTTGCAATGTTTGCCTCGATGAAAACTCAGCTAAAAATATTTGAATTTTCTTCAAACCTAAAACTAACAAGCGTTGCATAGCCTGACACCTTCTATTTTCAACATATTCTTGTTTCTCAGGATTGATCGTGCTGTGTTTGAATGAAAACACTTCAATCATCCAAAGAAAAAATGCAATTCACTCATCACTTCGAGAGATTGCTATTGTTTCGTAGAGATTAGATGAAACTGAGTGCACAATATAAAATGTTATTATGTTTTGGACCATTTTCATTACGTGTTTTCTAAACTACACTAGTGGAAATAAGTCCAGGGACATACCGATCTCTGCATTTAATCGATCGTTATCGAATGAAAATTTTACCAGGAATAGAGCTCAAAAAACTGTGATCGTAGGCCCAAACTCGAGCTCCAGACTTCGAAAAAATGAAGTTATAATTTGCACGCCAATTTCACCTCGTATTCTCGCAATTTTTGCTCGCAGTTCGCCTTTTTTAGTAGATTGTTGGATATAAGTGTGCTCAGTGAAGATCTCTCTTTCCTTGAGCGATCTCGCTTGCTTGCCATCATTGATTGGCCAATTGAATGTAGCAGACAATTCACATGGATTAGTCATGTGAAAAGAAGAGGAATGTTTGAATATTCTCGTTTTTCATTACAAATCTGTGCACTAATGTCTCTTCCACTTCATAAACGTTATAAAATTGTCTTTTTGGCGAACCACAAATATGGACCACGTTTTGGTCCGCAAAAGATCGCGAAGATTGTCAGTTGTAACCGGAAGACTGTGACTCGGTGGTTGGAACGGTGGCAGGAGGCAAAAGATCTCTCTGATCGTCCTCGATCTGGAGCTCCACGTGCTACTAATGCTGAGCAAGACCAGAAGATAGTCGATATGGCCCTCGCCGATATGGATACCACCAGCAAAACTATTCAACTCGAACTTCAGAATAGTGGAGTAAACGTGACCGATCGAACAATTCGAACTCGATTGAAGGATGCAGGCCTGAAGTATTCAAAACCGTTATCAAAGCCTTTACTAAGCGATCATCATCGTCAGCAGCGTTTATTATGGGCAAAGTCAATGGAAAATCATGATTGGAATCGAGTGATGTTCACCGATGAAACGGCAATACACCTTCATTCCAAACGAAAGTACACCTGGCAACGACCAGGAGAACGTAAAGTCGTTCGAACGGTGAAACATTCTTTGAAGATTAATGTATGGGGCTGTTTGTCGGCAAAAGGATTTGGGAAGATATTTTGGTTTCAACAGAATTTGAATAGCGAATTTCTTTGCGATCAAATTTATGAAAAAGCTCTACTTCCATCGGCTTATGAACATTTTGGTCAATTGAAATGGTACCTACTGGAAGATAATGACCCCAAACACCGATCGAACTACAGTAAAAGGTGGAAATCTACTCGACTAATCGATACACTTCCTTGGCCATCCGCGAACCCAGATGCCAATCCTATTGAAAACCTCTGGTCTTTGCTAAAACTCAAGGTTACTCAACGGCGACCGAGAACACGCAACGATCTGATCGTTGCGATTACCGACGAATGGAGAAAATTTCCTGGTGAATTGGCCTTTAATCTTGTCGGAAGTATGAAAAATCGTATTCAAGCGATCATTGCTTCGTCCGGGGACTATACTTTTTACTGATGGCGTCTCGAAAGTCTTTCTTTGTATATCTTTCTGCTAATAAAGCTTAGAAATAAAGAGATGAAAGTATTAGACATATTTCACTACTTGTGATCCTTACAAACACAAGTGGAAAACATGAGAAGGCTCCAACGAAAAGTCCACTAGAAAAATACATTGCGAGCAAATCTTGAAATTGACGTGGATCATCATGAATTCGATATTCGCTCTAAAATCTCCCTCTGAGATATGAGAACAACCAAGTTACACGACAACCTCTTCAAAAACTTCAAATACCTATGAATATTAGTTTTCCGAGAAGACTGGTGAAATTGGCGTGCAAATTATAACTTCGTTTTATCGAAGTCTGGAGCTCGAGTTTGGGCCTACGATCACAGTTTTTTGAGCTCTATCTCTGGTAAAAATTTCATTCGGTAAAGGTCGATTAAATGCAGAGATCGGTATGTCCCTGGACTTATTTCCACTAGTGTATTTGTTGTCGAGTCTTCGACGATATAATAAAAGAATGAAAGGTTCACAAAACGCATTATGAAAACGTTTACAAAAATAATTATTTACATTATACATTCGGTTTCATCAAATACACTGTTCTCTAGTTTTTACGAAAGTATTCAGGTGAAAATGGAAATAGATTTACCTAGTCAATCTAGATAAAGCAATGTTGACAACGTAGAAAGAGTTTCCTCCTTCGTACACTTTTTCAAATATATTAAACGCTACAAACACTCATCAACACAAAATCTAATTGACAATGTTATTGCGAGTAAATTGAAAAAACTCGCAGTTTTGGTCATCTCTATCAGAGAGATATGAGAGAAAATAAGACGGTTGACGTGTTTCAACTAACTCATCTACGTTTTAAATGAATCGAATCGATGCTCTTTTGTTCCTGTTCGATCAGTGTTGTTCATTGAAAGACAAAGACTGTCATTGACCAATAAGAATAAACCAATAAGATAATTAAGACAAAGAACAAACAGAACATTGAAACAGAAAATAAAATAAAAACAAACAATATACTAGTGATCTTATGAATGTAAATATATGTATTGAAAAATCAATCAATGAAGACGATGATAAAAATACAAATTTCTTTAGATGAAATATTTATTCTAAATAAAAACTATCAATGTTGTGCTTCATTCATAGAAAAAATATAAACGACTTCAAATCTCGATTATTCGTTCATTAAATGGATATAACTTGCTGTTAAATCATTGTTTTGAAGAAATTGCCAAATGAAACTTGACAACAGCATAATGAAAAATAACCTGCAGCTAGATTAAAACGTTAATATAATAGCTGGTAATGCATTTGTTTATGTCATATTACAAGTGAGCATAAGACATGTCTGAAAGTTAACTCTTTTCATAGATGCACGTACATTATAATCAACAAATACATATATATTACTAGTCTCTCTTTTGAAACAATATAAATATTAAGAAAAAAGTCAGAGTGATGAAAAAAAAAACATGGCCAACCGAATACTTGATATGTTCAAATATGCGGCGAAAAATCGGCAATACTTGCTCATCTTTAATAGTTCGCCTTACATATTCATGTATGTTTGTGAAGATCTATCTTTTTCTATAGTTCATTTGAGCATAGATACTTCTACAAATATCGAAAAGTAAAAGGAATATGAACAACTGTCAAGAAGAACAAATAAAGCTACATTATATTATTTTGAATTATAACATCATGATAGGAAGTAATTATCTAAGAAGTCAATATAGAAATGTGTTTTGGAAGAATTCAGAATAGTAGAAACTGTTTTAGTGAAAAAATTCGGAAAAAATTCAACACGCTGTCATAGATATGCTCAAGCATTTGTTATTATCAACAAAATTCATCTGAAGATATTGAGAATGTTTTGTTTAGAGTGTCACTGGAGAAAACCAGTTTCCTATAATTATTTATGAAATTCTAATTCTTCGGACTCTTTATAATTAAGAAAAAAAATACAATGATGAGCATCTTATGATGACTTTTCTGAACTACTAGAACCACGAATCCATGATAACAAGAGAGTTGATTTATCTTCACTGGCGTAGACATATAACAACTGCTACATATTTTCTCTCAAAAAACTTCATAATCAAGCTATAACAAAAACAAGTGCTGAACAAACGCATAAAAAAAAACAACCGAACTTCTTCCGAAAACGTTAAAAATCGAATTATGTAAGGGTGCTGAGGACTCTTCACACTCCAAACTACACATATTTTGAGTACATCCC